GAATGTGTTGGTGCATTCTTCCTGAGTGGGATCTGGAGCTTTCTTGTGTCTGTGTATGATTTGTGCCTGGGCTTACCTAGTGTCACTTCCATAGCGTTTTGTGATGTTCATTCAGGTGGAGGCCGCAACTCAGTTACATGTAGACATTTTCTTCCTTATATTTGTAATATATGAAGATTTTCATATTGTAATTTGTGATTTAGCAATTGATCAAACATTTATAGTAGCGTTTCTACAGAGGTGGGAAGAAACCATTGTATAATTTTCACTCTTAAAGTATGTTCAAGTTTTTAGGATTTGATGTAAGATCACTTATGGAGCGAAGTGCGATGGCTTACTCCTGTAATCTCAGCACTTTGGGAGGCCGAGGTGGGTAGGTCACCTGAGGTCGGGAGTTTGAGACCAGCCTGACCAAGATGGTGACCCAACTCTCCTAAAAATACAAACATTAGCTGGGTTTGGTGGTGGGCACCTGTAATCTCAGCTACTCAGGAGGCTGAAGCAGGAGAACTACTTGAACCCGGGAGGCGGAGGTTGCAGTGAGCCGAGATCACGCCACTGCACTCCAGCCTGGTGACAGAGGGAGATTCTGTCTCTCAAAACAAAACAAAAAAACCACTTATGGAGAGTATGTATGGTACAGTCATGGAATTATTTAGGAGTGAGCAAAAAAAAAGGTATTTCTTTTGTTTCTCAGTTTGTAGTATCTTTCATGATTACCATTAGTAACTAGAATTCTAGCCATAGTGAATATTAAACTAGACTTTGAATTAAAAAAAAAAAAACTACTGTTTGTTTTGGAACTAAACAGTGTGAAAGGTACTAGCAGGATGGACACTGCCCTGACAACAGCACGTCCGTGCTGGCTTAGCAGGAGCGCATAGAGATTGCTCAGGATATGCCAGAGCCTTTAAGGAACCTGATGTGCTGTCACCCAAAATAAGAAATGTAAGAAATTTCATAGGCGCTCAAAACAGCATAGCAACAGTTTTAAGTATTTGGGGACAGTTGAACTGCGAATGTAGTTCAAGAAGAACAACAAATGATGTGCTTGTCTGTGTTGTATCAGAAATAACCTAGCACGCGGCACTTCGCATCTTTGGATAAGGTAGGTATGCAGCCCTGCATGGCGCCATACATGCGGGGAAGCGCCCTCTAGTGTGGTAAATCTCACCTCCCAACTAGAATCGGAGGGTTATAGAGCGTCCTTTTGTTTATGCTGCCTGGACAGGTGGCGGCTTTGTTACTAAATGAGAAATTGAAGTAGATACTTTGGACTTCAGTGTTTGATATTTTTCATTAGTGGGTGGGATAAGTCAGTGTAGCAGCCTGGAGACATCCAGGGATGTCCAGAAACAATATGTAAAATAAAAAGTCCTGTCTGTCCCTTAACTGTTGAAGTAAACTAGGAAGAAGTTTGCCATAGCTTTGGGACCACAAAATTTTCAAACACATTTGGATGTTGTAGACTTTGTGGAGTGTTTTATGCAACTCTGTGAACAGTTTGCTCAACACGATGTTCCTGGTAACATACGTTTGACTCCTGAGGAATCTCTGTGGTGAAAATTTTGAGGGGGTAGGTAGCATTCATTTGCATTTGAGAAAATCTCTTTTTTTAATTTTTTTAATTTTGGGATGGAGTCTTGCTCTGCCACCCAGGCTGGGGTGCGGTGGCGTGATCTTGACTCACTGTAACCTCTGCTATAACCTCTGCCTCCCAGGTTCAAGCGGTTCTCCTGCCTCAGCCTCCCGAGTAGCTGGGATTATAGGTGTGTGCTACCACAACTGACTAATT